TATGTACAAATTTAAATTGGTTCCTGCTATCTTTTGTGGGATTAAACATAATGTTTAGGGATATTGGCATTAACAAACATGGGCTTCCTCTTCAATAAAAAACTAAAAGCGTCTATAATCCCCAATCCACGTATAGTTAGAACCTTATATGTGCATTCATTAGTTCTTCTTGATTTATGTATTATCAGGTACTAAATGTGGGCGCCCTCTTAGTGAGAATTTGAATTTTGATTCGCTACATTGTGGGAGATTATCTTCTTCCACTAATTTGGACTCAACTTCCATTGGTTGGTCTCTCTTTTTTTTTTTTTTTTAGGAAACAAAAAATTTAAGTGAATTGGTTTCTGGGAACTCACCAAGGCTAGGACATGCCTTTAGGCTCAGAAAGTACTCACAGAGATATCTACAGATTGCCCACCAACAAAGTCTTCACATTGGCAGTAGGATTCAAAATCACAACCGTATGAGTTATGAGCTGATTTCTTAACAACTGGACTAACTCTTGTTGGTCACTGGTCGGTCTCTCTCTGTGTGTTTTTTTTTTTGGCTGCCCACCCAGTTCATCGGAGCTTTGCTTCGACTACATTTGTATCCAACTCGCATCGCGCACCTGGCTGTGGTGGGTGGTCTCCCAACAGGGATTTTTGCATACCCTGAGGCTCGAACTTGAGACCTCGCTTAAACGGTACTAAGCCAATTACCACTTGGATCAACCCCCTGTTGGTCACTGGTTGGTCTCTTGTTTAATGAGGATTGTGGCTGGACAAGTTAGCGGAACGAGGCCCAGATTTTTTGCATTGGGGTTGGGCCAGGGCAATGACAATTGGGCCCAATTAAAAGCGCATGCATGCGTTGTATATGGACTAACGTTTAGACATCGGTTAGCCCAAATAGATAACACTTCGTTAGCCCAAATGGAAGAGGAAGAGGAGTTAAAAGCCCACTTATATCCTAATAGGAATAAAAGAAAAGGGGGATAAATTTTGCTCTTGCCGTAACCAAAAAAGAGTTTTTGTTTTGGGCTCTTGCCTTCCATGAATTTCCATTTTTGCCCTTCCTTAACCCAACTGGTGCCACATCATCACCAATCACAAATCAAAAATATTAACAAAATAAATATATCATTTAGCTCATTTAATTCCTAAAATACCCTTGTGAACAAATATGCACTAAGATGCCTAATCATGCCCGAATAAATCAATTTAAACTCACAAGAGGCTAAGATTAGCTACCAAAAAACGCACACACATGTATGGCTCTATTAGCAATCTAATCTTTTCTTTTTTGTGCAATTTAACTTTCCTGATGTATAGTCTATTTTTGTGTGTGTAATCTATCTTCTCTTACGTTCTAATTATGCTTTGTGCAATTCATATTCCCTACGTGTAAATTAAATCATCTTCTTTTATGTGCAATTGTTCCTTTCCATGTGTAATCTTTCTCATTTATTAATTATTAATGGCATTTTTGTCATTTTTAATGTCTTTTTATTTCTTCTCAGCGACCAAAATGTTTCAGATAATTTCAGGAACTGTTCTCCAACTAAATTTTTAGTGTGATGGCCAATTTTCCCCATAAAATTCATATTTCATGCTCATATAAAATGAATAAAACCATGCACAAGCTATAAACATTATAATTCATTCTTTTCAGAATAGTTTTTTTTTGGGGGGGAGTTTGTATTACATATAGATTTTTTAATATAGAGAAATTCATGGCAAGTGCACATGGGTAACTAATGGTTTTGTATTACTGGAAAAGTTTGTCTCCCCATCATCCATGACGTGATATAGATCACCAAAAATGACAAAAAAATAGTTAAAAATTACTAAATACTAAATAAGTAATATCAATAAAAATTTGTTAATATTTACATATTTAGTATTGTTAACATTAAATAAAATATTGCTTTAGTACTTTTCAATTTCTATTTTTTAATATTTTTTCTATTGATAACTCAATCAAAATTCAAACATTGGTACCCTCAGAATAATAGTAGTAACAGTGCGGCCAACATTTATCATTTAATTTTTTCTGAACTATTATTGGCCAGGCCACCTTGCACTAGTCCAATTGGGCTAGGATGACTAATCATACTCCATAATTTGAAAAGTAAGGCCCATGTGCCCCCTACCTATATAACATATCGTGTAGCAGATACCATGTGCATTGTGACGACGAATAACCGTCCTATCTATAGCATCTCATATTTGGCTTTGAATTTTATACTTTTTTTGGCTGGCTAGTGTCTTTTATCGGTTATTCTTCTAGTTTTATTTATAAGATAGAGAAAAAATTATTTTTCTTTCTTCTATTTCAAATTCATATCATTAAATTTTCAACATGAATGTATTATTTTAATACTTATTAACACATAGATTACTTTTTTTTTATTAAAAAGTGTATATGTTGAGTAAAATTGAAAAATAGTTAAATTTTAAATTAAAATTAACGAGGTTCAATTTTTTTTTAGTTTTGATAAAATATGCTTGAAGTAACTTATAAATAAGACAAAGAAGTATAAATTAACCAAACCAATTTTCATTAAGAATAACATAATATTAGCAAGGAAATTAAGGTAAGAGACAAACCTTAACCTATTACTAAGAAATGTTAAAAAATGATGCGTGTGTGATAAAAATAATTAATTTAACTTATATTTTTAATTTTTTAAAATTATTTAATTAACTTTTATATTTAGAAATGGAAGTAGTACAAAGGTAAACAATTTGGTTAAACCCACCCTTCAATTGGCAATTTTTAGTCAATTTTGTGTGCGTGTGTGGACGTTAACTGTTGACCCAACCACCCCACTAACATGCACATCATTTAGCACAATTGGCGTACAAGATTGAGTAGAATCAACGTCACTTTCGTGGGCGTGGCAGACGTGGCTGGAGAGCACATCTCATGCTCGTGAAAAAATGTGCATGGAATGCTTTAATTTAAAACCATCTGCATTGATTTTGAATAAATCAGATTTAATTTAATTATTTTATGTTTTAAATAATTTTTTTATTTAAATATGTTGAATTCAAAACAGAGATGATTTATGACTAAAATTTTTTTTAAAAAATAAGTTTATTATTAAAAAATTTGTAGATTAAAAGCTTTAAATTTGAACAATTCAAATCATATTTTCAATGATTCAGATTTCATCACAATAATGTTAATAGCTGTGTTGTGATGCCAATAATTGAGGCAAGATTTAATTATGTGGGGCCAAAATTAAAAAACATATATAATATAAATTTATATAAATATTTGGAAATGCATGCATAATAAAAAAAAATTTAAAATCTTATGGAGACATCGTCCTTACCGGTTCCTCTTCTTTCCGTACCTGCATGTCTGTGCATCCCCCATCTCCTCTTTCCCCCCAATCATCATGCCCATGTGCTCTGAACTAGAATATATATACTCACACGCGTATCTTATCTATAAATTATTTTTAACGTATATTATACAAATCAAATAAAATCTTAAATTTTATTAACTCTTATTTAAAATTTAATAACTTTTTAATTTTATTTCTATTTAATATATAATATACTCCATGTAAATAAATTCAACACAATAATAAATAAATAGGTAAAATTATACATCCACATAAAACTTTTTTTTAGTACCTTATAAATAAAACAAAAAAATATCTTCTTTCTCTGTTTTAAAATAAGACCAGAGGAGCATATATCAAAGGCCAAAATTTAGTCTAGCTTTTGAAAATCATTATCCATTATTTTCACCAGATTGATTTTTTTAATTTGACGTGCTTCTTGCCCCCCATCAATAATTCATGGACATTCTAACTCTTTTGTCAATGTTAAAAATGATGCTCCCTCATGTTGTTCTGTTCCCTTGTGTTCTATTTATAAAATTCTAAAATTTAAAACGATTTGGTCTTTTTTATAAAATCTTATTAAAGATTGTTTGAACATTAAATAGATTTTATCAATTTTTTTCTCAATTAATTTTTTTATCTCTTTTCCGTTATCTTTTTCTCATATTATATTCTCTTTTATTTTTTATATCTCATTACTTGTATTTTTTTCTCTTATTTGCTTCCTCATTAAATAAGAGTATACTTAAAAAAAAAAAGAGGTGTAATTTTTATATATTTATTGCTTTTAACTAATTTTAACTATTTTCTCAAACCACGTAATTTAGTTAATAGGATATTATAAAAAAGATGGGAGGGACGGAGTAGTTAATTTATTAAACATGTTTTAAATGGAAATTTTTTTCGTTTTTATCAATATTAATTAAAGTTGCGAAGGACAGAAAAATATACAAAGAGTTATTCCTTATGGCTCAAAATCAAGTCATTGAAAAAACTTAATATATTTTTTTACAAACTTAATTTTGGATTTATCTAATCATTTAATGTTTTTTTTATTTGATTAATTATATGTTTCTCTCAATTTTTTTAATTTTTTCTCATCTCTTTTTTCACTCATTCTCTTTCACTTACCCCCTTTATAAATAAAAGGTAGTTTAAAAAATAAATTACATTTTTTACATATTTATTATCTTTAACTAATTTTAACTAATTTTTTGAATTGCGTAATTTAGTTATTTAATACTACCTCTGGTCCTTAATATAAAACCTCGTTTGATTTTTATTTTGATTCTAAATATGAGATCCTAATCCACATTGTCTCTCATACTTATTCATTTTTTCTTAAAATAGTTCTTCTAATAATGGTAGTTCTAGCCAATAAACTTGATTAGCAAGGATATTTTAGGAAAAAAATAACATATTTATTATAAATAACTAACTTAATTTGTTTTCTTAATCTATTCAAATTAGTCAACGAGCTCTTATATTTAAAATTGGAGGCACTATTTATATTATGAACCGCAAGGAACACATCTACATATTAATTATATGCATAAAATTGACAAATAAACATTATTTACTCTTTCAATAATGACTTATATTTTGCACAGGAGATGGTAGTATACAGAGCTCCGTATCCTGCCTATTCTGAGGAATACACATCAGTACCGCCCTGCATAGCAAAACGAGAGAGAGAGAGAGAGAGGGTATGGAGGAAGGAAGGCAGAAGAATGGAAAGTTGGTGTGCGTCACTGGTGCTTCCGGCTTCCTGGCTTCTTGGCTCGTCAAGCTCCTTCTTCTTCGTGGTTACACTGTCAAGGCCACTGTTCGTGACCCTAGTGCGTTCCCCTCCTCAATATCATCTCCCTATTTTTGGTCCGAAACATCGGGCTGCCATTTTCATACTGCTTTGCCTTGTTCATCACCACTGTCATTTTCTCGTGAAGCAATGCTCCCCCCCCCCCCAGGGGTGTCCATCGCTATATATATATATATATATTGTTGTTTCTTATGTGCTGTTCACAGAAGTTCCATTTTATGTGACCACAGATGATTCAAGAAAGGTATCTCACTTGGTTGAAATGGAAGGAGCAAAGGAGAGATTGCATCTAATGAAAGCAAATCTGATGGAGGAAGGGTCCTTTGACTCTGCTGTTGAAGGCTGTGAGGGTGTCTTTCATACTGCCTCTCCTGTTTCCGTTGATGTCAAAGACCCTCAGGTTCTTATCATTCTATACAATACATCCAACAACGAAGTGCCAAATCCCTTTTGAGTGTAGTTCAGGGTTAAATTAATGCTTTGATATATTTCTGCAGTCTATTCAGATGGTAATAGTTTCAATTGTTAACAATAACAAGTGCTAAATCCTTTCTGTTTGAGAGTAGAGTTCAAGGTTAAATGCTTTGAAAATATATACTACCTCCTGTGCTTAATATAAGAGCTCATTTGACTTTTATTTTGGTAATAAATATAAGACCCTAATTCACTCTGTCTCTCATAGTTATTTATTTTTTTAAAGGTAGTTTTAATAATAATTATAGTTCTAACTAATACAATTGATTAGTAAAGATATTTTAGGAAAGATAATATTTATTTATTATAATAACTAACGAAATTAATTTTCTTAATCTACTCAAATTAGTCAATTAACTCTTATATTAAGGACCGCAAGTAGTATGTATTTCGGCAATCTATACAGAAATTAACATTGGTATCAAAAAGTTTCGACTACTAAGATTCTTCACTGTTGGTCTTTGTCATAATCATGTAAACTACTTGGTAATTTGTTCATTTCAGACTGAACTCATAGAGCCAGCAGTGAAGGGAACTCTCAATGTTCTAAAGTCATGTGCAAAATCGACATCATTGAAACGAGTTGTTATGACTTCTTCCTTGGCTACAATATTATTTAATGGAAAGCCTAAGACTCCTCAAACTGTTGCTGATGAAACCTGGTTTTCAGATCCAGAATTTTGTGATGAGTATGAGGTAGGCATACAAAATACAGAATTGCATCGTTTTGCGACAACAAAATATTATAATGTCTCTCATTTTATCTATAAACTGATAATCAAGGGAAAAATGATAGTTCGATACTTCTATCACCTCATTTGTCAAGATTCAGTTTGGATGCTCATCACCAAATCTGAACTATCTAAAAAATTGAATAGTTCATACTCAATATGATTGTCTTTTTATATTTTTAATAGTTTAATATTTTAATATGTAAATAATCTAAAATAAAGATCATGTCTTGTCAGTTATAATTTTTCTATTGAAAAACTATCAGTTTAAAAATTTTTTAAATATGCACCATTAAAATTATAAATTTGAACGTTATCGATCTCATTCCAGTAATAAATACCGTAATACTCATTATTAATGAGTACTAAAACTGATTTCTATGTGCAGCATGCACTAAACATTTTCTACTCAGCAATTATGTGAATGTATCTCTTTCATCAACCTCAAATTTATGCAAATATACAATACTTGCGTGAATCTTATCTTCAAAAGTCATCTTAAGAAAAAGGTAATCTTTTTCAGTTTTCCTTTTTGCCAACATAAAAAGGGTCGTCTCAATAATGTCAAGCACGAGAAAGGGAGAGGTGAGAGCCACATACACATATGAGGAAAAAGTGGGTCCCCACATCCTCTTTTATTTTCTTTTCTCATTTCAAACGACCTATTCTAAGTGATGTGTACTTGTGTTTGGGATGCATATGATGGTAAGGAAAAATAACATTTAGGTCTCAAAATTTCAGTTTAGTTATAGTAATATGTTCTTAAGAATTTTATTAATAATAAGTTGCAAATACTGATTTAAACAGGTACAAATATACTAATATTAGTTTCAAATCATTGGACATGGTTTATGAAACTTAAAAACTCGAACTAAAATTGATATTCCTCTATTTGTAACTATTCAAATCAATAATTATAACTAATTTTCTTGCAAAGTTTTATTGGGCCTAACTATTTGGAGCATCCTTCTAGTTTCATTCATCTATATTCTTATTCTTTCAGCACTGGTCCGGCTATATACTTTCCAAGACTTTGGCTGAAGAAGCTGCTTGGAAATTTGTGAAAGAAAACAACATTGATATGGTTACTATTAATCCAGGAACAGTGATAGGACCTCTCTTGCAACCAACACTTAACACAAGTTCAACTACAGTTGCAATTATATTCAATGGTAATTTTAATTTATTTTGCTTTAATTTGATCTGATACACATTTCCAAATGTTTGAAATATAAACTAAACTTGAGCGAGGGTATTGGAATGATT